GAAAGAGCCGGCGCCCAGCCCGAAGGAGGAACCAGCCCCAGCCCCAGCTCCTGAGCAGCCCCCAGCCCCCGAGCACCCCCCTGCCACCCAGCAGCCCGCAGCCCCTCCAGGCGAGCCCGAACAGCAGCCCGTGGCAGAAGGGACTCCAGCCCCTGAAGAAGCTCCCCCAGCTCCCCCAGCTGAACCTCAACCCCCTGCTCCTGAACCAGAGCCTGAGAAACCCAAGGCAGGTGAGGAGAGGACCGGACGCTGAAGTGGGGAGGGGACATATGCAAGGCTGGGAGGGGGCACGTGGGGGTGTGGTGGTGAAGGGACAGAGGGGTGAAGTCACCAGGGGTGTTTTTGCAGTGGGGTAGGGCTGGAAGATCTGGAGGATGAAGGGCTGAAGACCAACGTGGAGGTTGAGTGATTGCCCTCCAACAGCTCTGGTGCTCAGGAGCCTGTCCTCACCAAACGTGGGTTTCTTACAGAGCCACCCAGTCCTCCCTTGTCCTTGGCTGTGGAAGAAGTGAGTGAGAACTCGATTACGCTGACCTGGAAAGCCCCGGAGCAGACAGGCCGGGCAGGACTGGATGGATACGTGGTGGAGATCTGCAAAGATGGAAGTAGGCTTGGGCTTTCCTGCCTCCTAAAGCATGGAGAGCTGGTGTGTTGCTGTGGAGGCATGGGACGGAGCTGGGCAGATCCTAGAGCTGGCCTCAGATAGTAGTGATGACTTTAACTGGGGTCTGGACTAGGTTTGATGTCACTGCCATGACCAGATAGAGGGTGGAGGAGAGACCAGCAGAGGAGATCCACTGAGGATCGTCTCTGATAAACTCCAGCTCTGCAAAGACCTGGGGCTGGGTTGGTCATAGAAGACCTCAGGAGGAAAAAGATGCAATTCCTCCTCATTTGCCCAAAATGAAGTGCAGAAGAAATAAGGATAAGTTAGGAGGATGAGGGAGGACAGGATCCTGGGCAGCACAAGAGGGGCTGGTATGCACCAGCAGGCAAGCACTGCCCAGGCAAGATGGGGCTTCAGATGCCTAGAAGGAGGATGGTCGTGGTGGGTGGAGGTGGGCTGGGGGGTGGCAGCAATATCTGTGGTCCTCCAGTTGCATTGCTGGTTGTTGGAATGGAGTAAGTGGATCAGATTTGTGTTTTGGGCAATCTCTCGAAGCCCTGCTTGGCTTTGGGGTGAGAGTGTGGCTGGGGGGGCATCTGCAAGGGGAGGTTGGGGCTGGTGGCCTGGGTGCTGCATGAGGCTTGAGTAGTCTGGGAGATCCAGATGGTCCATGGGCCTTGGGAAACTTGATCTATGACCCTTGTCTGTTTAGCTTGTGCCAGGCACGACCAACAGATGCTTGGCTTTCATCGTTGGACTGGGAACTGGGGAGGTAGCCATGGCTGGCTGGGCTGCATGAGGAGCCCCTTGCATGGGATGAGGGAAGATGCAGCCATTCCTGGAGGGTATTGGCTGACAGCCACCCAAAGGTCACAGTTTTGGATGCTATCCTAGCTTGCTTTGGGCTTGGCTGGGTGACAGGAGAGCTCTAGTCATTCAGTGAGAACCACACGGGCTCCATGCTGTTGTTTGGGCTGGTGCAAGACCCTGTTTGGCTAAAATGTGGTGAGATTTGAGTGAAGTTTGGTTTGAGTAATACCAGTGGTGAAGGGAAAAGGAACTGGTGGGATTTGGCTGGTCTGACAGCATGGACAGGAAAACCTTCTTGGTTCAAAGGTGCACATGGTGTCTTAACACCCCTGGTACACGTGGGTTGCTCCACTTGCCCTTCTGGGACACCCCATCCTTTGGTGACTGGGGCATTCTGTTTTCCAACAGCACATCACAGGGCTGTGTTAGCTGCCTGAGGTGGGAGGGCTTCTACATCTTGGCTGTGGGGTGAGTTGGAGATGCCTCTTCCAAGAGGGAAGAAGAGCTGAAGAGGTCTAGCTGGCTGGTGGCAGGGGTTGAGTAGACCTTGCCTGATGTGGAGGATGCTCTGGGGAACGTGGTGAGCCCCAACAAGTGACCCTGGTGCAGCAAGAGCAGCAGAGAGGCTGGCAGGGTGGTCAAAGGATCTTGACTACTTCCAGAGAAGCACCTGGAAAGTCAGCAGGGACCAAGTTGGATGGTCTAGTGCCTGTTCCTGCTTGCAAATAGCCTCCTGCTTCACAGCTGAATCTGTCAGCACTTCATATCTGCTCCCCTTGGCAGAACGGGGTGGCCAACCTCCTCTCTAAGAGTCCTTTTTCTGCTGGCACCCCAAACCATCCAGCCTTTGTGAGGAAGGGGTCCTCTGCCTCCTGTGGCTTGCCCCTGCTGTGGGAGGGGTCTGTCTGTCTGTCCACTGCACCCCTGAACCACTCTGCTGGGTTCATTGCAGGTACCGACTGGGCAGCCGTGAACCAGGAGCCTTTTCTATCCACCCGCTACACAATCCAGGACCTCAGCTCTGGTGCCAAGGTCCTTGTCAGGGTCAAAGCTCTCAGTGCCAGCGGTGCCAGCGTCCCAGCCAGCTTGGAGCAGCCTGTCCTCATCAGAGAGATCCTCCGTAAGTGCCGCTCCCCCCGTGCTTCACCCCCAGGTCCTGTGTCCGTGGCACAAGGAAACCACTCTCCACCCCACAATCCGGCCTTTGGCTGAGATGTTCTCCTCCATAACTGTGTCCACATCCCTTGGGGTGGGGCAGAGCAGCCTCCTGACCTCCCAGCACTGGTTTTGCAGATGGTGAAGCTTTGAGGGTGGAGGACTCAAAAGGTTTTCCCGTTTCATTGCAAGAGCTCAGAAAGAGTCTCACTTTCAGCTCATCCCCTCTCCTTGGCCATGTTTCCATCTCTAACACCCCATCCTCTACACATCACCCAGCTTTGTTTACTTAGCTAAAGAAAGTCAGGAGCTGGAGGCTGGAGCAGGGGAACTTTAATCACTCTGAACTCGCTAATGAATGACTTGCTCCCATGCTTAGCAAGACTCACATTCCTCCCGGGCTGCTGTGAATGTGCTGAGGCTGGTCTATGATTGCAAGGTTGGTTTTCACTTATTGAACAGCAAACAGCAACTCGTTTTCCCTCTGCAAGGAATTATTAATGCACAAGTTTTCCTACCGCTCAAAGAACACGTCGGATTTTTCAGCTGCTTAAAAATAGCAGCAATAATCACGAGTCCTTCCAGGAACCATCAGCTTTTTGTAGGAAAAGGCCAGGAGAAGAGCTATCAGCATCTGGGAAGGGTCCTGCAGAGTCTGTCCTCTCAGTCTGCTCAGAGGAGGAGATGAATGTGGCTTAGGGGTTGGTGTCTGCTGCTGCGTTCACCTCCAGACCCCAAAAGCATCCCACCATACCCTGTGGGGCTGGGGAAACTGAGGCATGGGGCACTGAGATGAGGTGTCGACTAGATAGCTTGTGTTTCCCTCTTCCAGCCCCATCCTGCACCAAACAATTCAACCCCTCTGTCCCTGCAGCCCAAGCTTTGCCCTAGCCTCATGGGCTGCTGAGAGATACAAAACCCAAAGAGCTGAAGGACCCACTCAAAACTTGCTCTTGGTCCACGATAGTGTTATTTTTCTTCTCTCTTTTCTTTTTTTGCTAACTGAGACCATTCAGCAGCAAACAGCACTTCTGCATTCCATTTGAAACAGCAAACCTGGCTTTGCTGAGGAACAAATTACCCCTCCAGGTCCTCTCTGCCTCCCCGTGCCCACGTCGGTGGCACTGGTATGTGTCGGGTGCACGAGTCGCCTCCTCTCTGTCCCATCTGTCACTCTCTGGTCTTCACACTTTATGTGGGACTCCATTTTGTACCTCTCACCAGTTCATTTATAGCATCACAAGGGGTTTTAAATAGCAGCAATACAGACGGCAGAGAGTTTCAAAACAGGTGGGATGAGTGGGTTTGGGAAGTGGAGAGAGAGACAAGGAGAAACCAGACGGAGGTTTGATGCTGGAGCCGCGCTCTGCAGGGAGCTGAGGCAGAAGAAACGCCTTCCCCCCCGTGGTGGCATGTCACCTGGGCCACCAACCCTGGCCAGCCCATCCTTGGCTGAGCCAGGCACGCGGGAGCTGGGCAGAATTCACATTCCCCACGCCAGGTCAGGTTTCTCTGCCCTGCTGAGGCTGCTGAGCCCAAGCGGCGGCATCGCCGCGTGGATCCACGGAGCGAGGAGCAGCCTGAGCAGAGGAGGGACCCTCTCAGCTGTCGGGGGGCAGGGGGGGCATCTGGGCACCTCCCCACCCTCCGCAGCCCACCCCCAGCTCACGCTGACAGCTGTCGAGCCATCGCTCAGTCCTGGTTTAATTCTGGCCGTGCCCCCTCCCCAGGGCTGAGCTCCAGCACGTTCGACCCGCGCAGAGACACGCAGCAATTTTAGGAGGGGCTCAGGCAAAGCCAATGGCTCCCCAGGAGGATCCCCGAGCTGGTAGGGTTACACGGCTGCTATTTTCACCCCGGGAAGGAGACACGGGCTCTAGCAGCATTCTCCAGGGGGGTTTTTGCTTATCTTTGTTATGTTCCCTTGGGGACATTAGCCTGTGGTTTAAGCCCTGGGGCTTTCACAGCTCTGCTGTGAGTAACCGTGCACCACCTTGGTGTCTCGAAGGTCTTGAGTGTCCTGTGAAGGTGGAGGCTGTGGAGGCTTGGTAGGTCTTGTCATTGCTGGAAGTTGGCTTGTGTGCCTCTGGGGAGTCTGTGTTCTGAGCTGGGGAGAAATAGTTCCTGCCTGGGAGATGCTGTCCTCTGCTTGCTACCCTGTAGGCTGTGCTGTGGCTCTGCTGGGAAAGCCCATGTTGGTCTCCATGGTCTGACCATGATGGAGAACATCAACGGTCCATTGGGGTGGTGCTGTTGTGTTGGTGACTTGCTATCTCAATGGATGAGTATAATTTTGGGGTTCAGGCAACGGGATAGATTGGCATGGCCCTTCAGGGAAGCAAGAAGCATCCAGGAGATGAGAGGGAAGCTGCCTTTCAGGGTGGGATTTCCTCCTAGCTAGGCAGGGGGATAGGTGGGGTGGGTCAGCCAGCTGGAGGCTGTGGTTTCCTTGGCCCCATGACATGGATTTCTGGTTCCCAGAGCTCCCGAAGATCCGCATGCCCCGTCACCTGCGGCAGACTTACGTCAGGCGTGTTGGAGATGCCATAAACCTGATGATCCCTTTCCAGGTAGGTGGACAATTTGGGATTTAATCCCCCAGGCTTTCTCACTGCACATTAGCTTCTGCAGTGACTTTTCTAGCCACTGTAACATGCCTGGAACCAGCTGTGGGCTGGCTTGTCCTAGTCTCCATGCCTCATGGGCCAAGGGTGGGAGATGAGGTGGGAACCTCTCTCCCACTCCTGCCTAGTTACCTTTATGTCTTTATTGATGGTGCTGGCAATGGAACAACCCCAAACACTCTAGGACATGAGCTAGATATTGCTACTGTCTCAGCCCACAAGCCCTGTTCAGCTCATGCTCCTAGCTGAGCCTGGCAGGGATCTGGCCACGCACCACAGGACCCCACAGCACAACAGTGAGGGGTCCTCTGAGGAGAGCAGCTGCCTTTGGGGCAGGGCAGCTCCAGGCCTGGGTGATGGAGAAGCGATGCTGACACTTGTGGGCCAAGCTGGAGGTCCTCCCCTCAAGTGACCTATCAGATACTGTCTGGGCCATCACCAAGGCTTCTCCAGCATGGCATTTGGGATGGAGAAAAACAGCCCTGAAAACTACTGGCCAAGCAGGAGGAAGCCAGAGGCAGAAAGCTGCCCCTGAGATGAGGGGCACGTCCATGACATGTCTTGTAGGCAGCTGGGAGCCTGCACTGGCCATGCTCTAGGCATGGATTGGCCCCGGGTGTTGAATTCCAGCCTCTGCTGCTGGGCTTGAACATGGGCTCAGTGCCTGGGCAGCAGGAGCACGGCTCTGCCCGTGATGCTTTGGGCAAGTAAAGCTGGGCTTGCTCCATGAGGACTTTGGGAGCCATCAGCCCTGCAGCCTGATGTCTTCCCATCAGTGGGGCTGGCAGGGATTGGCTGTGGTTCCTTCCCTGGGGACAGCTGGGTGGGAGAGGCCGTGCCCAGGCCACTGCTGCCTGGACAAAGCGAGGTGCCTCTGCCAGAACTGCGAGCTCGAGTGGCTCCTAACCTGCCTGTGCTGGTTGCCCCAGGGAAAGCCAAAGCCCGAGGTGATCTGGACCAAGGGTGACCAGCCCCTGGACACCAGCCGGGTCAACATCCGTACGGCAGAGCGGGACACGGTCTTCTACATCCGCAGCGCCCAGCGCAGCGACTCGGGCAAGTACGAGCTCACCGTGAGGATCAACGGGGCAGAGGACAAGGCTGCCCTGGACATCCGAGTGATCGGTAAGGCTGGCCGTGGGACCTCACCCCGGGGCTCGTTTCTGTCCCTTGGTTAGGGGTAGGTCTTGTTTTGGATGGGATGGGCCACGGCCAGCAGCGAGGCAAGGGGCTCTGGGGTCCCTCTTCCAGTTGTATCTTCTCTAGGGTGGTGGAAGTGGATGCTGGGTTTCTGCCAGCTCATGCCTATCGCAGCTTCTCACCCCTCGTGTGCTGAAACAGGATGGGAAGAGGTTAAAAGTGAGGTGCAAGGGATGGTCAAGGTATGGAATGGTGGGGGGAGCCAATTTGAGGGGTTTGTATTTGCAGAGCCGCCGGGCCCCCCGGAGAACCTGAAGCTGGTGGATGTGTGGGGCTTTAACGTGGCCTTGGAGTGGACCCCCCCGGCGGACAATGGGAACTCTGAGATCAAGGGCTACATCGTGCAGAAGTCAGACAAGAAGAGTGGGGTGAGTGTGGGCGCTGCTGGGGATGCCCAGCTGGGAGAGGGGCAGCTCCACACCCCCACAACCTTCTCCATCCTTTGGCCAGCTGGCCATTTGTCGCCAACCGGTGATGCAGACCAGAGATTGGTCCTTTTTTTTTCCAAAAAGGAAAAAAAACAGTGTCATTTGTCCCACGTTCCTTCACGGCTCTTTCTCTCCCCCCTCTCAGAAGTGGTTCACGGCGCTGGAGCACTGCACCCGCACGAGCTGCACCATCTCTGACCTCATCATTGGCAACACCTACTCCTTCCGCGTCTTCGCGGAGAACGCCTGCGGGCCGAGCGAGAAGGCCACGCTCGCCCCCGGGGTGGCCCACATCCAGAAGACAAGTCAGGAAATAAGGCCCTGGAGAAGGGGTTTGGGGGTGCCGGTGGGCGAGAAGGGTCCCGTCCCTGCTGGGTCTAGCGGGGATTCCGTGGTGTGGGTCACCCACAGGGCTGAGGCTGTGCAGCCCCAAAGCCAAAGGCCAGAGGTCTCCCCTTTCTACATCTCCTTTCTCCTTTGGGGAAGGCTGGTGCCATGGTCAGCCCCCTGGGAGGGGTCAAGGCATGGAGATTTAAGGGGCAACCTCTTCTCACTGATGCCCTGTGACAGGACACAAGCTGGAGCACAGGAGGTTCCACCTCAACGTGAGGGAGAACTTCTTTCCTGTCAGGGTCCCAGAGCTGGAACAGGCTCCCCAGGGAGGTTGTGGAGTCTCCTCCCTTGGAGACTTTTCAGACCCCTCTGGATGCGTTCCTGTGTGACCTGCCCTAGGCTAGATGGTCCTGCTCTGGCAGGGGGGCTGGACTCGATGATCTCTGGAGATCCTTCCAACCCCTGACATCTTGTGATTCTGTGAGATCCCTGGGGTGAAAACGAAGCAGGAGCTGGGAGGTGTGAGGACCAGCCCTGGCTTTGGTCCTGCAGATGAAGAGACCACCACAGTGGTCCACCTCAGGTCCAAATCTCCCAAGAAGCATCCCTCAGCCCCATTCTCCCTCTGTCTGCTTCCATCCTGCTCCCTGATAGCACACAGTGAGCTGGGGTCTCTGCCACCTGCAGAGCTTACCTCCAGCTCCTGTTTCTGTGCACTGAGCTTTGGTGATGGAGCAGGAGACCCAGAGAGGTGCCTGCCTGGGTCTGACATGCTGCACGTGCATGGTGGGGCCGGTTGGATGAGGAGGGATTTATAGACAGGGTTAGTCTGAGCTGAAGGCCAGGTCCTTGGATCAGGCCGGATGCTTCCTGGCTTATGTGGAGAAACAGAAGTATTTTGGGGTACCTTGGGCCGAATCCCTGTAACCATGTGCTGGTCAGCCCAGTTGCCCGAGCTCTGTCTCAACCTAGAATCAATTATTTTCTTAGAAACTACTTATCAGCCAGAGAAGATCCCCCAACGGGACATGATGGAGCCTCCAAAGTTCACCCAGCCCCTGACAGATCGAACCACCACCCGAGGTTACAGCACACATCTCTTCTGCTGCGTCCGGGGCTTCCCTCAGGTCAGTGGTTCCCCCCCAGGCAGCGTCCCCTCTGCCTGTGGACAGCCACCAGTGGGGTCTTTGCAAGGTGGTTGGAGGTCCTGGGAGGTGGTTGGTCATGTTGGGTTAGGGTGGGGTGAGGTTAGGGGGTTACAGCCGCCCTCTGAGTCAAACTGGGGCAAGTTTGGGGTGTTTCTGCACGGAAATAGGAGACTGGGCTTAATTCAAGCTGTGTCCTCTTTCCTTCTACACGTGGGGAGCAGTGGTCAAGGCTTAAGAATGGGAGATTTTGCTCTTCAAACTGCTTCTGATGGTGAATCCCCCCATGGCCACCAGCTTCAGGCAGGGCCAAGGCTAAGGCAGAGGGAGCTGGCTGCATTTTGGGGCCAGTTTGACTTCTCCCTTCTCTCTCTGCCTTAACCAAGCAAATAAATCTTGCTGCCTTCCAGCCCAAAATCATCTGGATGAAAAATCAGATGGAGATAAGGGAAGATCCCAAGTACATCGCCATGATCGATCAGGGCGTCTGCTCCCTGGAGATCCGCAAGCCCAGCCCCTTTGATGGGGGCATCTACACCTGCAAAGCTGTGAACCCCCTGGGAGAAGCCTCTGTAGACTGCAAACTTGATGTGAAAGGTAAGATGGGCCGAGGAGATAGAGGAGGAGGTCTCCTTGCCTGCTCTATCCTCTTCTCACCTCCACAGGGATGGGGTTTGTCCTTGTTTTGTGTGGCTCCTGGTGATGGAGGAGGTTAAAGATACTGAGCAGCCCTATGGAGCCTCAAGCTTCTTGGGTTGATGGACTTGAAGCATCTTGAGTTTGCCTTCCCTCATTCACAGCCAAAAAATATGGAGGAAAGCTGCAGAGCCAAAGGACCAGAGGTGCTGGTGGAGGCTGGGACAGACACTTGCTGTGTCTCCCAGCACTTCTGTCCCCAGCCATTCACCAACCCTGCATGTGGGGCCGTGCTGACCTCCCTCCACTTGCAGCCAGGTTGCTCTGATTTATGTCCCAGGATCCTGCCCAGACCTCCCAGCTCACATTTCCCTGCCTCAGCAGAGCACCCGGGGCAGCCCTTGCAGGAGGTGCCCCTCTCTGGTCCCCCCAGACACCTCCCCTGCGTGCTGCAGACGTGGCTGGGCGGGAGGGGGGTGCTCCTCCAGTGGTGCTGAGAACAGGCACATCATTTCTGTTATTTCTCCTCCTGTGGCTTCCCAGCAGATGCTTGCCCTGAGACAAGCTCTGCCCTACTTCCCACGCAGACAGAGCTCCAGCCTGGCAGGTGCCCGGCACCCCTGGGCCCTGCTGAAGATCCAGGGCTGCTGGTGTGGCACCGGGCTGGTGCTTGGTTCTGTGGCAGCTGGTGCCAGGGCTTCTGTTAAAAAGACTGTGGCCAGAAGGTTGAGGGAG